TAATAGTTGAGGGTCGCAATCATCGGACTTCTTCGTGTCTTATAGGACGGTCGGTGCATAAAACCTCAGCATAAACAGTGATCGTAGCACATGTCGATTGTTCACGCCCGCTTATTCTACAAACAGCCTTTCTGGAAGTCACCCTACTATCCGCCATCAGACGACGTACCCGGTAGACAGTAGCTAGTAGCCTCTTTAAGATCTTTGCATGGAATTGTTTCTCAATCAAATAATGGCCAAGCCATCCGTCTGGTAGTTTGTTTTAGTGACATACTTTAGTTTATTTGTTTAACGGAATACAATCAAAAACAATACCAGCGTATATTACATCTGGACAGGTTAATGTTAGTCATGTTAGCCTACTTATATTGATCTTGGGCGAAACGGCTGTTGTGGCTGAAATTAGTTGCAACGAAACGGATGGCGCTTTGCGAACCACTAAAAAGAAAGAACCACTGAAAATTATTTAAAAGACCGGAATCCGGATGTTTACACGAATACGCCCCGTGATTATGGAGATGCACCGGTCGCAATAACTTCACGAGAACACAAGTCACAAAACATCCAAACACAAACTACACATTATGACGTGCACTAGACGACAGAGGTGCAAAGAAGGGCATGAAGTTCATGTTAGGAAACTTTGAATGAGAAGCCGAATATTCAGGAATTTATGGTTGGACTGGCGGGGTCAAGTCGAGTATGACCTTCTTTAGGGCATCGAACGCGTCTCGGGCTCTCTCATACTCAAGCTTGGCTTTATTGTAAGCTAGCATAGAGGCTTTTAAGTCATTGTAAATGGATGAATATTTCTCTTTCATCTTCTGCCGGTAGCGAAAGGCAGCATCTCTATTCGATTGGCGCTTCTTCAACTTAACCGAAGCCTTCCCAGGAACCTCCAACGTTGAGCATTTGCTGTCCAACGCAGTGGAAGATGGTTGTGAGGAAGTCTTCTTGCCCCGAGTGCTTGAGGTGGATGGTAAGCGGTTAATGGAAGAAGAATAACTAATGCATCCTGGTGAATTTAAAGGAGTTGTGATTTCCAAAGATACGTTTGATGAGGAATAATTGTGAAGTGACTGAGATGATTGGGAAGGAATGAAGCTAAGCCAGTTGAATTCTGACAAATCCGCAGGGTCATGGCCGCACTTGTCGTAAGATGTGACAAAGTCAACAATTTCCGCCGGAATAGAACACTCATAATTAGTTGTGTAGTTGTTTTGCTCTTGTGTTAGCTGCAGAAGCCAATCACGGTCCGATTCAACACACTCTGGGAGTTGGTTTATTAGTCAAAAGCAACTTACCAGGTGGAGGCTCCGAAGACCAGAAGTCAACGTCTCTACATGAGGGAGTTGATGACACTGAAGGTAGACTTGTGCAGCTGGAGAGCTCCAGCTGATCGCAAGTATCTGGTGTGCAACCCGACCCCCAATATTGGGGGGTCGGCTGATGATATAAGGACTTTGCAAGGGACATTTTGGAGGGAAGAAAATTGGGAAAGCATTTTTAAAGCCATTATGAACTACAAAGAAAACATAACTGAAAATCAGAAACATACACACGAGGTACGCGCGTTCAACGCGAATTTCTGAAATTGCGGTCCTAACTAGTGCATGGCGTCAGCTTCGTCAAAAAAACCAGAAAGTGAGCGGTCCCTGCTAGATCATTTAAACGCAGAGGTTCAAGGACATTCAATCATGAAAAGTGGCC